TGAGCGATACGTACAGGTTCATCGCGGACGAGAGATTGATTTAAGCTCACAAGTTCCGCGAAGTCTAAATGAGCCTGTAGGTATAGATAAACTTGTAGATTGGGATGATTTTGCAAGTATGGGTGATCCTGGAAGTCCAAATAAGCCTGTAGGATGAGGTGATTCTGTAGGAATAAATGAGCCTGTAGGCATAGATAAACTTATAGATTGAGATGATTTTGCAAGTATGGGTGATCCTGGAAGTCTAAATAAGCCTGTAGGATGAGGTGATTCTGTAGGAATAGATGAGTCTGTAGGTATAGATAAACTTCTAGATTGAGGTGATTCTGTAGGAATAGATGAGTCTGTAGGTATAGATAAACTTCTAGATTGAGATGATTTTGCAGGTATGGGCGATCCTGGAAGTCTAAATAAGCCTGTAGGATGAGATGATTCTGTAGGGATAGATGAGTCTGTAGGATGAGATGATCCTTTAGGAATAGATGAGGTTGTAGGTTGAGGCAGGAATTTAGATATAGAAGAGTCTATAGGTCGAGGTAAATCTATAGGCGTAGGCGAGCCTGTAGGTTGAAACAATGTAGACACAGATATAAACGAGCCTGTAAACGTAGATGAATCTACAGGTATGGATGAGTACGTAGTTTGTGATGTGCCACCACCACCCGGAGAACCGCCACCACCCGGAGGACCGCCACCACCCGGAGGACCGCCACCACCCGGAGGACCGCCACCACCCGGAGGACCGCCACCACCCGGAGGACCACCACCACCCGGAGGACCACCACCTCCCGGAGGACCATCATCACCCGGATCTTTATTCTGTTTAGCAGTAGGATTCGGAATTGTGAATGTGAATGATGCTACCATTGTAGTTGTGGATGTATCCATTGTAGTTGTGGATGTATCCATTGTAGTTGTGAATGTATTCATTGTAGTTGTGGAAGTATTCATTGTAGTTGTGGAAATATTCACTGTAGTTGTGGATATTGGAATAGGACAAAAATTACTTCTATCAAATATTTCTATGGTGTGTTTGGTATTGTCAATTATAATATATAAAATCTACGGAAGGATATAATTAAGAAATGATTAGTTTACTATTAAAAATATATTTATATTGCCACCTAATAAAAATTTTAGCCATTAATCGTTTAACTTAGCCAACATTAAACACAATCTTGATAATTTTGGCCAGTGATTGACCTAATTCAGGCCAGAATTAGAAGGCAATATTTATGTGATTAAATAAATTCTTATGCTCGTTCTCACAATAGCCATATAACAAACAATTGATTCTCAAGATTTTTAAAAGTTCAGTATATAAACATAGTAAATTACTATATAATGAACTTTTTTTAGAAGTTGATCGTAAATTGCATATAAAATTTAAATTATTTACCTGGAGAAATGGTAAACCAAAAATTATTGAATTTGAAGGTCCAAATGAATCATCAAATATAGATACACATTTTCCTTGGATCATATTACAGGTTAAAGAACTTGGTATACTTATTCCAATTATATCTCCAGAATCAGATGTAACATCAAAAGTTATATCAACGGGATTCGGCACTATCCAATTTCCATTGCTATCTTTATTAGCACCTAACGCTTTAAAAAATTCACTAGCATAAGTACCAAGGGAAATTTTATTATAACTAGTACTAATAATCGAATCATTCACTGGATTTGGAATTAAGATCGCTGTCGAATTAACCCATATCAAATTAATTTCAATTTTCAAATATGTAGTATCATTTAAAGTTTGTATTTTAGCCGAATTTTTAGGATCTACATTAAAATTTTTATTAAATTTTATAAATCAAGTCATATATAATTATTTGGCAAGTATGCTACAAAATAAACAGCCGAATAATTATAAGTTTTTTTTTTTATGCACTAACCTATATACCTAAAATCTGTTCCTCCAAGTGCGATTGAACCAATAGGACAGTTTCTATTGGGAAGTACTAATCCAATAACTTGATCGTAGGCATTGTTTACTAGCTGATTCCAAATCTGAAAATTTTTTAAAATAAAAACAGGTCAATTAAAAGT